CCACAATGGGTCGGGCTAATTCGCGCAGAACGCCACAAGCAACTCCAATTCGCCGGTCGATCTCTTCCTCCAACTTTCTGTCTCTAGTAAATATAATTCCTAGGTACTTAAACTTCTCCACCCACACCATTGTCTCTCTCTTAATCTGAAGAGAGCAACGGGCAGGAGAACGAGAAAGCAGTAAGCTTTTCGTTTTAGATGCGCTCACACGCATGTCGGTCACGTCGCACTCGACTGCGAACATTTCTATGGAGCACTGGAGTTCAGTTTCAGAAGATGCTAATAAAACAAGGTCGTCTGCAAGCAGCAACATTCACGACTTCACATCTACTACACCGACAAACTCATCGCCTCGGCTATTCTTAACTATTCCATCCATGTAAAGCACAAACATGATAGGGGACAGCACGCAACCTTGGCGGAGAACGGTGTTACGCTAAAATTATTCGGCTTAATAGCATTTAACCTTGACGCAGCACCTGTTATCAGAATAGAGTGATTGATGGCCCTTTGCAGCTGGCCTTCTATCCCATATTTTTGCACGCATAGCGACAGAATGCTGCGTGGAATCCGGTCATAGGCCTTCTCTAGAACAACAAAGCACACCCGGGCGGGCGTATTCCCGCGATTTCTCAGCAACCTTTCGCAGAGCAAATATATGGTGTGAGGCGCTTCGACCGGGTAGTAAGACAAGCTGCTCTTCTTGTGTCTTTGGAGTCACTTATTCAGCGGAATCTTTTTTCTGACACCTTTGCTTAGACCGTACCTGTAAGGCTCAATAATGCAATGTCCGTATAATTGGAACATTCTTTGAGGTCTCCCTTCTTGAATAGGGTTGGAATAACTCTCCTTCTCCATTCCGCTTGTGTCCTTCCCGTAGTCATCGCATTTTCATAGACGCGCGTAAGATAACATATGCTTTGTTGGACTAACACCTTGAGAATTTCAAGGCGGATTTGATCAATTCCAGAAGTCTTTGCATTTTTCAGGCTCGGCACAGCTTGTGTAATTACATCTACAGAGATAGTAATATACGTTCGCAGCTGCTGTACACGCACGTCTTCCTCCGGTTGCTCGTGGTCAAGGATTTCCTGAAGCTGCTGTCTCCATCGCCGAAAGATGTCATTATCCTTGGTAAGAGGGTGTCCAGGCCTGCTTTTCACCTCGGAGCCGGTGGATGGTCTGCCAGAATACTGTGTTTGCCGTGCGAAAATTTGACTCCAGCACCTTACCGAACTTCTCCCAGGAATCAGCTTTGGCTTTCGTCACGGCATTCGCTGCCGCATTACGTGCCTCGACAAATGGCACCCGAGTAGATAGCTCTTTGTTTCGAACGCTACCTTCTTCTACCTAATTGCCAGTTGTACCTCATGTGTCCATTAACAACCTCTTTTCCGACATCTAGGAAGTATGTCAACCCATTTAACTCCGCAGCGTCCGGTAGCAGCCTCGAGTATGCCGCTCTTGAAGAACTGTCACTCGGTTTCTACATCAGATGTCATCAGCGGGATTTGTTCAAACCGTCGTACGATGTTGTTCGCAACTTTCGCTCTCGTGTCCACCGAAGATAATGTTTCCCATTTGATTCTCCGGTTGCTTCTGCCACCAGATCTTCGTATGGTACTCCGTTTCTTACAGCGCAGTGTACCTACAACAAGGTGATGATCGGTTGATAGCTTTGCGCCTCTCTTAACGCGAACATCCATTACTGAGCGTCTTAGGTCAGACGATGCGATTATCAAATCGATC